GGGTGCCCGCTCCCCCCGGGGACGGGGGGGCTGCCGTCCCCGGTGTGTGCCCCGGACCGGTGGGCTCTTGGCAGGGCAGTGGGCGTCTCTGGTCCCTCGGGACTGGGGTGGGGAGCGACAGCCTGGCCCCGGGCTGGGGGACACCCCCCTGGGGGACACCCCCCGTCCCCCCCACGGGCGCTGGGGAAGCTGCCGTGGTCCCGCAGCGAGCTGGGGCTTGGCCGGGGCAGGAGGCCGGTCTAAGAAAACATGATTTTTTTTTTTTTTTTTTTTTTTGTCGTGGAAAGAGTTAAGCCCTTAACCCGGATGCTGAGGCAGAGGAGGCGAGAGGTGTGGCTTCCTCCCCAGGGCCCGCTGCTGCGCAGCATCCTCCTCCCGCCACCCAGCGCGGCCCCACGGCGGTCCCTAGTGGGTGGGTGCCGGTCCTCTGCCACCCCGCTGAGCGAAGGACCCTGTACCCCCCGGGACTGGGTCCAAACCACCCGGGTTTAGGGTCCCTTGTCCCCCAACGGGACGTTGGGCAACAGCCCTGCGAGTCCCAGCCCTGACACCCCGGTGCCTTGGCGATGGGATGTGCTGGGGGCGATGGGCTCCCAGTAGGGATAGCAGAGGGTGGCTCTGGGGAAGCAGGGGTTTGGGGGGGAGATCCTGGGGATGCTGGCAAAGTGGTGCCCTTGGACACTGGTGGGAGCGTGTTGGGGCTGGACGCAGGCAGTAAAGCCGGCTTGGTTGGCACTAACAGGATTGGGAAGTGTTGGAGCTCAGCACCGGCTCTGCCTCCATCTCTTTATCTAGAGCTGTTTGCGCCAGGGCTTAGTGGAGAACCATCTGAATACTGGCACGTTTAATCCTACGTGTCCAGCCTCGTGATGGGCACGGGCTTGCATGCGGGTCCTGTTGTGGCCAGTGGCACAGGGTGCCGGGCTCGCCCCCATCGTTCTTCTCCAGTGAGGTGGGACTGGTGTCGCTGCCTTTCGGAGGGCTGGAGGAGGTTTCTGATGGGGCATCTCTTCTTGCAAGCTCTTGGTGCAGCTGTGACCATACCTGGGGCCGCCGGCTGCTGGATGCAGACAGAGCCTGTCTCTCCTTCTCCCACCTGGGAAACGCAAGCGCCATGGTCATGGTGTGGGGTGGTGGCCCCAGTGCTGCTGGGTTTGGATGGCTTTCCCCCGGGCAGGGAGCATTCCCTGCTCTGGGGACCCAGCCACGGTGGGCAAGGGTCCCGGTGCTCTGGCACAGACCCCTCTTAGCAAAGGCTGGGTAAAGCTTGAGCTGTGGCATGGACGCAGGGCTGGGCACGGGCTCTGGAAAGTCCCCGAGTCTGTGTCACTGCCCACTTCTCGCAGCAGGAGTTTGTTCCAGGATTGGACAGGCACAGGGAGGAGAGCTAGCTCCTGCAGGCAGAGCACGTGTGGCCGCTGGTTCCCCTTTTACTGCCGAGGAGCAGGGGGGAAACTGCTGAAACAGCTCTTGCGTTAGCATCCCCTCCTCCAGCCCGGTCTTGCCCCATTTGCCAGGGCCCACGATGTCCCTTGCAGGCGTCACGCCACCGCTCGTGTCCCCGCTCCCCGGCTGCCCCGGGGGTTGTGGTCTGACTGGGGCAGCGGCGAGGTGCCAGCGCTGATCCCCATGGGATGCAGGGCAGATGCTGCAGGAAGGCACACGTCTCAGAGTCCCCCCTGGGGCAGGGAGAGGTCCGGTACCCTTCTGGGGGTGCAGAGCCAGGTCCCCTTACGGGACCAGGCGATGCCGCTGCCCTCCAAGGTCACTTCTCCCTCGGGCGAGGGTACGGGGGGGGACACCTGGCGGGGGACAGGGGACCCTTCCCCATGAGTCTCGCTGGCGTTGTAGGGAAGAGCGTTGTACCGGCGTTGGGAAGAGCTGGCTGGGAGAAGGCGGCTGCTGCCGCTGCGCGCCCCAGCCTTGACCGCATGCCGCCGGCGGAGCAGCCCCACCTCCAGCGCCAAGAGATGCATTTCCTGTAGCGAGCGTGCAGGGCGGAGCGGCGGGGCTGGCTGGGGTGTAACGGCGGCGGGCAGCGGCCCTCCACCGCCGGCGGCCCCCTCCGGGGGTGAGCGGAGACCCCGGGGAGAACCGGGTCGTTCCTCTCGTCCCGCCATCGGTGACCCCAGAGTTGCCGTCGTCGCCGCTCGGCAGCGGTCGCGCGGCCGCCTTCGGGAAGCGCCTGTCGCTGCGGCGGGAGCCGAAGGCCTGAGCCGGGGCAGGCGGGAGAACCGGGGATCCCATAATGGCTTCTTTCATCCCGCGGCGGTGGCCGGCGGCCAGGGCTGAGTCAGGCCGGGCCAGCTCAGCCGCGTGAGCCCCTCGCCCGGAACCTCGCGGGGTCCCCATCGCCCCCCGCTGCCCGGCCGGCCATGGAGGAGGAAGAGGAGGCCATAGGGTACCTGGATAAAGTGCTGGAGGATGAAGATGACTCTGAGCCAGGAACCCCCACCAGCCCCGGGTCTCCGTTCTCGGCCGGCGAGAAGGTGGGCGGCGGGGGCACCACACTCCCGTGCTGGGGCGG